GCAAATTGACAAAAAATATCACTGGATGACGATATACCGCTAGTAGTCTGAAAGTATATTAACATAACCGATATATGAACAAAGGGATATTTTGAATAGCTTTTGTAGACCTGTACGTTTCTGGTTATGAAAATTGCAATTTGGATGGACACCTTTCGATACGTACACTCATTAGACTTAGATTAATTTAATTAGGTTAACTGATTAAGTATTTTAACAGTTACAAGTATACTTGTCTTGTATTTTACGGGTCAGTAATTATAGATTCAATTTTTAGTGTATTGTACAGTTAAAAGTAATTTTTTTTAATTGAATTCAAATTCAGTTGTCACAAAGAAATTTTTTACCCATTTTTATTTCAAAAAGCCTTCTATTGCTCGGAAAATCCTATGCATATTATGAAGTGTTTTTATAAACTCATCATTTTTTGTTTTCTGGTTGGAAAATTAGGAAGTTTTCTGTACAATTTCATTGGTTAGTTACTTGATGCCTATAATTGATACTGAATAGATATAATACACATTTATTTATCCAAAAAATCACAAACGAAGTGGGGCACGTTTAGAGTATAATTATTTATAGTAAGTAAGCATAAATTTTGAATTAAAAAAAAATAATGAAAACAATAAAATTCACCTTTAAATATGTATTATTAATTATATGAAAATAATCGTTTACACTGTCTTCAACTAGTGATTAAAAGTATGCATCTTTAATTTACAAATGTAGTTAAATCTGTTAGTATCATCAGATTCTGCACATTTTTTTGTATATTGTGTATTAGTTATAGGGTTAAAAATAATTTATATAATTGGTGAAACTCTGGAAAGAATTAAAAACTACTTTATGTTGTTATGTTATCTTCATCCGAACTTTCTATAATAAAGACAAATCTTCTTCTCTCAATCCATTTGGGATCGTGGGACGTCTACATTCCATTGGGTAGTGAAATAGTTACGTAATAATACGTAGTGGGTGAGATTGGACCACTTGTTGAAACCGACAAGTAGGTATTATGTATAATAGGTATGTTTGTGCTAATTAAGTTTTGGCTTCGGTTGTTAGGTCGATTAGAGAAATTCCACTAAAATTCCGACGCGGTCTTGTTCAACGTCGCGTCGTTCCTTCTTCATTCACAATTTCTGTTTACGCAAAACCGGCGTCGTCGTCGTCGTCGTCGTCTGGACCGACCAACTATTCTTCTCCTCTTCCTCCTCTACCTCCTCCTTCCTCATCATCTGGAACCATTGTCGTCAGGACAGCAGACGGCGGCAAATTGGAGCCGAGTTATGACGCTTTAAATCTTTCTTCGGTCGCTAAATTCCACTAAAACCAGACGGAACTAATTCGAAAAGTAAACAGACGGGTCACCCCACGACTTGGTCGTTTAATTTCACCGTTTACTAGCTCACATTGCGAACACATTTGAAAATGACGCTCTTTATGGCAGGTAGTTACCCTTTATGTATATTGAGTATCTAACCGAATCGCAATCACCTCCCTTATAAATCGTGTTTAACTTTAGTATCACGATGTGCCGAAAATAAATGGAGTTATATAATTGAGCAGTTTACTGATTTTAATGGGTTTTGCAAAAATATAGTCATTTAAACATACTTTTACCTTTAATTTCTATAACTGTTTGGTTCTATGTGAATATTACTTCTAATTTTTGGAACTATATTCAGTGGAATGAATGGTGTGTTGAGCTTGGGATACCAATTTTCTAAATCCGACTTTCTCCATTGGATTCTTATTCTTCATTCAATTTTGAGCGAAGGTCATTGTTCGTCTGCAATGTATGAAATTCTTAAGTTCTGGATCCGAACTTCTGCGTTTAAGTTTTGGGGCTGTGGAATCGCATTCCTAATTCTGNAGTGGTTAATCTAAAACATTTTTAAGGTATGTCAGAAATGTAATAAACACCTTGAAAGTCTGTGGATATTAGTTTATTATGGTGGATACCATTGTTTTCTTTAAAATGTTTTTGGAATAGTACCTATTAAGAAATATCGCCATGCACGGATAAAAACACCCTGTATGTAAATCATATATAAGTACAAGAAAAATCATAAAAGTTAAAATAAAAAATTATCATAATAATAAACACAATTTAAGGTTTAAGTTCTTGGTCGATAATCTATCGAAAGTACAAGAAGTTGATTACGATTTCGAATTTATTTGATTACATCAGCACACCATGCGCTTAACACGTACATATATAAGCTGTGTCGCAAATTGACAAAAAATATCACTGGATGACGATATACCGCTAGTAGTCTGAAAGTATATTAACATAACCGATACATGAACTAAGGGATATTTTGAATAGCTTTTGTAGACCTGTACGTTTCTGGTTATGAAAATTGCAATTTGGATGGACACCTTTCGATACGTACACTCATTAGACTTAGATTAATTTAATTAGGTTAACTGATTAAGTATTTTAACAGTTACAAGTATACTTGTCTTGTATTTTACGGGTCAGTAATTTTTGTTAGTGATTAAATTCGTACGGTCAGTATCTATTATTTTGTTGTCTATATGATATGGATATGTGTTAAAAAATAAACGGTCCGTATCTCAATGTAAATTTTCACTGTTAAGGTATAAATTATTGGTATTTAAATGCAATCGTATCTAATGAAAATTGTCACTGTTAAAGTCGGTATTTAAATGCAAGCCATTTAATTAAGTAACATACAAACCAAACAACCTAACATAACTTAACGTAAACCAGTAAGTAATTAAGGTATCAACTACTTAATTTATTACTGACCGTTTATTGTTTTAAACTGACCGTTGAGTATTTCTGTTGATAGTGACCATTATGTATTTTTATATATTGACTCGTTCGGTGATAAAAACTGACCGAAATTTGATTAATATACAGTGGAATTCATTTATTATTTCTCCAGCTATATTGACCAACCGCTTAATATGAAGTAATTGCAGTGTTAAGTTTGGTTTTCATATTAAATTCTCTATAGGAAAGTTTGGATATAATGACTCCGTTTAAAATGACATATCGTTTATTATGACTGATTCTCAAGAAATCACATCCGGCTATAGTGACCCAAATGATTAATAATAACATTTTCGCCCATTTTTCTGGCCTTTCTTATGTATATTGATATTACAATTCATTGTTCTTTTTCTTTTTCTGTTAATAAATATATACAATTTGTAGTTTTTCTCTCTATTAAACTAAATAACTAACCAAAATAGAAAATTGTGCATATTCTAAGACTATGCTTTGTATCACGCTCGCTTAGTATGACGTGTTTGTCATTAACCTTCTATGTCATTATAAGCGGATTCTATTGTACTTAACAAAAATTTAAATGATGGTTTAATTGTTTCCTTTTTATTTTTCTTCGATTGTCTTGTCCTAGGTAAAGTGTTACAAAATTTTCTTTTTGTTTCAGGGCACGGAAAAACTGGAAACGTATTATCCTAACATAACGAAGCCGTATGTGCGAAGCGAGGCTGATCAATGTACGTACAAGCGTTACAGTACAGAGGGTTGGCCCGGGGGTACGCCGCTCCTCGAACTCAACGGTAATCATATAGAAGGTGCCGCGAGAAGTAAAGTGTCGCGAAGTAGCGTTCCCACGGGCGAAGAATCGTTAGGATTAAGTAGGATAAATTCTGCGGTCTCGAGAACGATTTCGCATATCGCGACTGCGCTCCTGACAACTCCCTTAATTTTTATCCGTTGAATGTGATCTAGCTTTTCTCCAGATTTTTCATTTCCTTTTTGATAGACTACTAGCCGGACATTTTTTACGACGTGTGCACTTCCGTATCGCGTCAGTAGCTCTGCTGTGAAGATAATCATTCAATGGTATAAGTAATAAAAAGGAAATCGAAAGTGTTAGGATGACTTTAAAAAAAAAAGATGATGGAGACGTGCGGCGATGATTACGTGATATAAATATATGTATAAAACATACAATGTAGGTGGACAAACAAAAAACTATTGCAATCGATATCGACTTTCCACGACCCTCTGACAACGTCTGCTGATGTAATAACATGTATTTGTGTGTATGTGAGTGTATAAATACCTATTATATACGATAGTAATCACTCCTTTGATCCCACTCGAAAGACGTTGTGTTTTAAACAGATCGTTATATTCTAGTCCTTATTATTCTGACGATCGATCGTTACAATGGATGGGAAAGAAGGACGAAGTTTGAGTGCAAATTTTCCCTAGAAACAAAAAATAATAAAATTAATAACATGAGAAAAATGACCCTTCAATTGTATTGTCTTTGGTGTTTTCTACGAGTTGTTAGTCCACCACTAGCGTCGCCATTGGGAGCTGTGATTCTTTTAGAATAAGCATTTTACTATTACTATAGCTAGAGAGCCAGTTGTTTATGTTGATTTTTTAATAAAATAGTATGCTAAAATTGTTAGGTAAATCAAAACGCCCTTGTTACCCGTTTTCTTTAGACGTGTTTTGTATAAATAATTACGTGCATTTTTTATTAATGTTTAGTATTTCATAGTCTCGACTGGTGCTATATAATTTTAATTAATTATTATTATTGTACGTATCTTATTATTAAAGGAAATTTTGTACTTTTATTTATTAATAATTTTCAAAACAAAAGAATGTTAGACGCCAGATATTGTACAGTGTAGATAATTTCTGTAATATATTTTATAAATAAATACCGATAAGTATTTGAAATTGTTCCTTTCATTTCAACCATAATTTTTGAAAATGGATAATTTGAAAAAAAAAAAAACAAAAAACAGGTAAGTATCTAATTATTTTTATGTACGTACTTGAAATGGAAAGAAGCGTGAGCCAAGGAGGGTAAGTAATATTAAACAACCCTTATTCTTAAAAACACTTAAATTATCAAATCTACTTGCTTCTTTTCATGCATTTTTAATCAGTTAAATATTGACCGAGATTTTTTATTGATCGATAAATTACGAGCGCTTGTTTACACCATTATACGTATTTTTTGTAATTTCCTTTTCATCTACTAACGTTTTAATAAAATATTTCTACTAGTCGAAAGGTGAAATGAGGTAGAGCGCATTTTCTTCACTTTTCTAGTTTTAGTCTTGCAGCACTAAAAATATTATCCCATATTTTTCAAATTACAGAAATTTTCAGGTAAATATGTATTTGTGATTTTTTTAAATTAAGAAGAAACAACAAAGGTAAGTATTGACAATTTTAAAACTTATTTTTACGTATTTATTTACATAATTATTTTCCAAGCCTTCTATACAAATTAGAAATAAAAAAAAAATAGTAAGCTACACAATCATTAATACTCGAAAGACACTATTTTAGATATATAAGCACGATCATTAAATACAACAGTAGAAACAATATAACTTTATAAGATTGAATTAGGCAAAAAAAAATAAATAGTAGGGGTTTTTTCGAAGTGTAAGGATTCTTTAATTTTCCGTGTTTTACTATTAGTTGACTCCTTTTCTGGAGTTATTGGCAATCCATATTCTCAGAGCAGTATGGCTAAAGATTGGCATTTGTAAATTTCTGGTTAATTACGAAATTGTTAACTGAAACTGCAATTAGCCATCAAAAAGATGCTGAACTGTTAACTCATGCTTATGCTTTTAATATGTTTCTAACTAATCCTTTGTGTCTGAAAAAGTTTTCCCCAACTTATCTCGCCTATTTCATATTGATATCTATAACACTTTTCTAATACCTTCTTATTTCGAACTTTCCTCCTATAACACCACATTTCAAATGCTTCCGACATTTTTTTTCGTAGTCCACCTTTAACAACCATACATGGCCGTGCTACTTCACATACACCTTCAATAATTGTTTTCCAATTTCAAAATTAATTACCTTACATATACCAATAGTTTTGTTTTATTTTTTATTAATTTTCATACCATACTCTTCTATCAATTTCATTTTATTTAAAATTAACTCTAACTCCTCTTTGCTAGACCTAATACTGCTGTATCATTAGCAAAATCTTTGATTCCCAATGTTTTTCCCTGTATGTCTGTCCCTAAACCGGCCCTATCTTTAAATACGTATATTAATCGCATCGTATATCACCGATATACACGATATACACATAGAAAGCGAAACACTCGAAATCAATATGTTATACCCATACTCGTGCTTTTAGTAAAGCTTAGCATTACAATTTTAATTATTTAACTAATTTGTTTTCGTTATTTTACTAGTCACTTATTATAAAAGTTTGTAATATTTCTTTTGTGTTTTTTGTCTTCTTATTCTTCAAAATTTTATGCAATTCAGTTTAAGTTACTTAAAAAGGTAGAAATAAAGCAAGGTTTTTTGAGGTTTTCAACAATTTCTGACATGTTTTGCAGACATTCATTAATAAGTTGTTTTCTTGTTTTAATAATGGACACCCCTGACAAAAGCAAAAAATAATGAAAATTTTTAATAATATATACTTAAATAATTATTGAATAGAATAAAACAGCACATGAACAGGATAAGTTTAACTGCAAATGTTGTCAAATGTAATCGGCTAACTATAAATATGGAATATAAACCATTGTCTTTCTTTAATGAATTCGAACGTCTTTACAAAGCAGATTATATTTTAATTACTCGTCGATTTTTTTAGTCGTGTAACGGTATCAACAGCTGAACCAAATTAAAGGCTATACGTTGACATTTGCTCGTCTGCCTCCCGCCCAAAGACCTGACATTTACACTCTTTCATTAACCGTTCAAAATTACCAGCAATTCGATCTCATTCGAAGCACATGCAGCGAGATCCCTGATGTTCTACGTCGAACTTTTATTGCACCCGAATAAAATTAGGTACGACCCCATGCAATAATTTAGGAATTTATTGCTGTAAGTAAATTCGAGGAACAATAATACAATTAACATAAATATTACTATTTTAATCAATGGGTGAATCAAAGCCAAGCAGCAGGGGTTAAAAGCTATCAAATAAAATTTTTCCAATTTTTAACACCTGATTGGCGTTGATTAGGGGAAAATGGAGAATAGAATTGCTAAATTTATATTATTATCCCTAATATGTAGATTTTCTGTCAGTTAAAATTTCAGAAATATTTTTATACTTAGATACTGTTAGAAGAATTAGGAGCGCTTATTTTATTAATTTCAATTCTCTTTATCACCATAAGGATTTTACTGAAGATTTTAATTTTTGGTATATGTAGTACAACAGCTACTATGATGACAACTGCAGTCTAAAAACTACTAGAATCACCACCATTTCTACTTCGTTTACTTTCTGTAGCGATGTGACCTTTAGTTTGACCGGCGCAAAGTAGAAAAGAACTACACTAGGCTAGAAAAGAAAGGAGACAACTCTCGGCCAAACTCTTAATTGGTGAGGAGCGTATAATCCGTACAGTACTGCACGGAAAAATTGACTATTTTATCCACTAAAATTGCATTGCTATAATGTGCTGTTATTGGTACCAATTACTACTGAAAATACCAACGAGATGTTTATTTATATTTGAAGACATACTAAAGGCTTTAACGCTTGTTTTCGACTCGCACTACTATTCATGATTGAACAAAACTTTTGACAGCTACTGTATGAAAAAGTGTGTTTAATGAACAAGAGTCGAGAGTATAATAAGCTTTTCTCTCCCTATCTACGATTTTGCCAGCGCGCATCCAAGATATTGGAAGGGGCACATCGCTACAGAAAGTAAATGAAGTATACCTTTTTTAATAAAGGGAAATGCATTTAAAAAAATTATGTTTGGTTGGGGTTTTTATAATAACTAATACTGTTGCCAGTAAAGATTTTGTACAAAAAATGTACCTATTACTAAAGATATTTCTAGATTTCATTTAACTTTGAAACATAAAATGAGTAATACAGATATAATATCAATACGTAGGTGGTTAGTTAAAAAGATATTATCTATGGCACATTTAAGACATTCCTAGTAGAAACCCAGACACGTCAGAAAACAAATTAGTTCGAACAATACGTTCGTATTCGTTGATTCGTTTTACATGCATTGGGTGCTTCGAATATGTGTGGTGTAAATAGGAGATTTGTATCGGAACGTCTATAGATAAGTGTTTACAAGGGTGTAATTAGTCTTGCATGCGTCCAGGGGTTGAGCTATTTTACAGCACGGAAATGACTCAGCTTTAGACTACCGGTTACCACAATCTCACATACAAGCGTGCGTGTATGTGCATGTGTTTTGTAAGTAGGTATGTACATTGTACATCCACCTATCGTTGTATCTACAGCAGACACCAGACCACAGACAACGGAATATCCACGTACAATGTTGTGGTATTTCGTTAAGCTCTTTAGGAACAAGTTGAAGCTGGAAAATCCGATGGATTGCAGTTTCTCATTTTAGTTACGTCCTCTTCACTTATCATTCTAGTCCCTAGTTACCAAACATACGTATAAGCAGGATAATAAAACTAATCCAACAACATATCTTTACTTTTAATGATGACTTAATTACATACGAGGGTGCGTTTTTAAGTTCGCGGAATGGGTAGGTAGATCATTAGTGAGGGTACTTATTCGAGTTATTACGAATTAACCAACTCATTATTAGTATGAATACCAAGTTTTATCGTAATTAGGTCAGTAGTCTTTGAACTATCGTCAATGAAACAAGACAATCGGGAACAAATTGTGAAATAAGGATAAAATCAATCAATCGATACCAAGCAAAGAAAATCAGTTCAAACCATACTGGAAGAGATATCATCCGTTTACGGGCCTAGGTAGAACCCTGGTTTACAAGTGCTCTTTTAGCAAGGCAGGGACTCACTTGAAGACGACCCACGGCCAGGCCGGCCGAAAATCATTCAAAAAGTCGAAAAATTAACACTGGCAGATGCCCGACTTAAGAAGAAGCAGCTCGTAGAAATGGTAGGAGTATCAGATACAACCATTTTTAAAACTCTTCACGATCATTTTGGCATGGCGGAAGGCAGTGTAAGATGGGTGTCGAGAATGCTCACTCCGTCTCGAAAACAATAGCGTGTGGAGTGTTCTCGCGTGTTTTTGGACCTCTGTAGTGAAGATAAAGGTGGAGTATTAACTCGAATTGTTACTGAGGACGAAACTTGGGTTCATCATTATGAACCTGAGTCCAAACAGGACTCTGCAGCGGCACAAAAAAAGCACACCACCACCCAAGAAGTTTAAGGTGTCACAGTCGGCTGGGAAAATCATGGCGGCAGTCTTTTGGGAGTCAGAAGGGATCCTGTTGATCGATTATAAAAATAAAGGTGTCTCCATAACTGGAGAATACTATGCTTCAATCCTAGAGCGGTTAAAGGAAGCAGTCAAAGAAAAAANAAGTATTTTCATTTTTTTTTTTTTTCAGTGTAAGAAATAAAGAGGGTGCATGTTTTTAAAGCATGTTTTCAGCAAATTCTGACTTTTTGGTTTATTTTGAATAAGTTATTGAGTTAATAGAAAAAAGATCTATAGTATACCATTTGATGTAGCTGATGCTAAAAATTGTGATAGTTGTACATCTCTCAAAATATCTTGCAACCATTCTATTCCTTCTTCAGACATTGTTCTTGATCTGAAATTAAAATATACCTAATTATAATGAATAATTGATTTTCATTCTACAAATTCGACTAATTAATCATGCACTGTATAATATATTAAGAATATCTTTACTTATTATAGTGCACGGAGGATATTAACTTTAGATTAGATTAGTTTGGATCTTTGGATGCACACTTATTAAATTAATGCAGTACACTTACGATTTCTTTCTTCTATAAAGATACACTTACATAATTTGTAATTTAATGATATATGAAGGAAATCGTTCATTAAGGCATTGTTAACGTAGGAGTATTATTTTGAAGTATATTTTTAAGGATTTATTTACTTATTAACGTCTATTTAACTATAAACAACACAACAATAACCAACAAGCTAACCTGCCCAAGGCCACATGACATTTCTTACAATTCTGATCAGACTTACAAAACAAAACCATTACCAGCATAGAATTGTATGTTGTAATAAGGTTGTAATACATCCGCTTTTTTATTATACAGATCAGTATTTTCGGTTGCCTAGCGTTCAAAAGTAAAATTTAAATTTTACAGATACGCGGCAATTTAAATTTGTATTTAGCTTGATTAAATATTAATTTTATTAAGCACAACAGTATGGTAATTGAAAAATGAATTTGAATAAAATCAAAAATAAAGACTGAAAAATTAAGTAAGAATTGCTTTTTAAATTGTAGAAAAAAAACATAAGTGTTAGTGCCTTTAAATTGACCACTATAACATGATCACATTACAGTACTTCAGTGATGTTTCTTAAAGCAATTTTGGAAAGTTTATGCACGATTTTCTTAAAATAACAGCATTTGCATTCATTTTTTAAACCATCAAACACACATGACAGCAGCAGATTTGCTTTACCGTCAAGTGCGGTGACATGTTCGCAGAACAGAATTTATCTTTGGTCCCTGGCGTAAATAAGAAGGACCGGGCAAGACGAGCGAAATATATATTGCAGTTGCGTTTACGGAAAAAAAGAAGCAAATCTTTCGTGGGAGTTATAAAGTAAAAAGTGAATTTTGGCAAGCAAAACGTTGCGCTCGCCGCTGACTGCAACCGTACCTCTTGGATCTGTTCCATATGCATTTAACCAATTTTCAACAGACACCACCAGAACGAGATATTACATTTCCTCCCAATTTATATTCTTTACTTTAGATTTATTTCAAATGAACAAAAAGAAAATCTAATAAAATCATCGTACTTAACAAAGAATAAAAACATTTGTTGTATTTTACCCATACTTCAAATAAACTTCCTCTTAGCCCTATTTAGACTGTGATATATAGTCTTCAATTTTCAGCACATGTACATATGCATTCCAGACTTAAAAATTTAAAATTTTAATGGTTATGACTCATAAGACTCCCCTTGCTATTAATACTACACCTCGGCCACAAGTGTACCACCTTCCCTAATCAGGGGTCGGCTAATAATTTTAGGTAGGGTCCGGATGTCATTCAAAATTGAGATCCAGGAAAAACACTCTTTCTTCCAAAAAATGCTAGGGATGACGCTCAAAACTTACACATATTTTGTTATCATCAGAAAAATATTTTTTAAATCTTACTTCAGTAATATACTTTCAAAAAATTTTTGCCGGTCTAGTTTTTATTGTAAATACCAAAAAGTAAACGTTAAACTAAATACATTTGAAAATACGTTAATAACATAGGTATAAAGAAACCTAAAATTAAACATATTTTCAGAGAGGGGAATTTGTTATTATGACAGAAATTTTCTATTTTGAGCAAATACATATACTTGTAATTAGTCTTGATTATAAGATTTTTACAACTATTTCTACTCTTAAACGTTCTTGTCTTTTATTCATTTATTAATGCAAACTAAAAACTGATATAAAATCCTATAGAAAAGTGAATCCTCCATATGAGTAGTAGGTATCTATACAATGTGCCCAACTAATAACAGTTGGTTATCGGTTCGATAAACGGAGAAAAGTGCAAGTCATATTATGGAATAAGTTGGATCTCATTTAGTCCAGCGATACGACGCATTTAAATCACCTAAAGAAGGATATGAATTAGACAGGGTTGTCAGAGGCTGACAATTTAATAGAGGCAAGAGTAGTATTTACTCTACTAGTAGCTGTTGCTTCGATTATTATTATGGCGACCTCATTTTGTTGTCAATCCAATCGAAATAGACCATTGTTCAAACAACTACAACTAAAATGTAATACCACTTCAAACAAATTAGGAAACGCTTAAAGTTGATGATTGATGTTTTTGTGTTGCATCGGACATAATAATGGCAATTCTTGTATCGCCTGTCAGACATCCACTATATTCTAATGTTACGTTCAATTTTCACCGTTTGTGAAGTAATGAAATGGTAACTACAAATTGAACTCGCACCCTTAAGGTGCTAAAGAGATTATCTTGCAGATACTTTTCATGTTATACTTGCAAATCTCTTCGTTTACAAATTATTGAACTTATATTTCATTTGGTTCATTGAATATAAAATTTTAGCATAGTTAACAAAAATTCAACAGCGTGATTATGAATTAGCCAGAAAACTCGCTGCTTGAGACCAATTATTACCTACCATGCTTTCTACCCTGTTGATAGATACCTACCATATAGCTGTTATTTACTTTCTACAAGAATCAATAAAATAATTTTCGAAGTTCTCTTATGTCCTATTTCCCATTTCTACCTGTTATGTATAAAATGAGACTATCATAGGTCCAGGTCCGCATTTTTTTGTCGATTCCGCAACTATCTGTATTTCATTTGCGCTATGTCGCAGGGTCATGCTCCGTTTGATATGTACCATTCGTGTAAGGCCTGCCTTACTCATCAATTGGTAATTTTAAAAATATTGGAAACATAATTTTTTACTGAAATACATCCCGAGATAAAATAAAATGTTCAGTAATATTCATTGTAACTTGGCTNGATTTATAAATAAAATGTAACTATTATAAATTATCTTAAAAATGGTATACTGTGTAATTATTAATTCTAACAAAAACCTAAGCAGTAGTGCAGATACAAATTTAACTAATTAAATTATCCATCAATTAAACAGGCTTCGATTGATTAAGACATTAATCGAAGTTCTAAAAGTATTTAATTACATGCATTCATTGCTTTAGTAAATTCCCGTTTCGTCAGTTCTCTCTCTCAGTAAAACGAATTGCGGCTGTATTTCACAAAATTATTTATTTTTTTTGTTATTATAAAAATCTGGGCTTGAGAAATAAAACTTACGCATATAACTTTATTAAGATTAAGACCTAAAAATACATCGTAGCATGCGTATGGTGTTGCTATCGTTTACAGGAAAACCGCTATTGGCCAGAATAGGTCTTTCATAACAACCCAGCCGACCAAAAGCTCATGTCAGAGCAGAGCTTCCTGGAAAGCTGAGCGAAAAACCATTTAGCGCCAGTCTTTCCTAGTTAGTGGTGTTAAAAGTTTAGTTAGTGTTAGACCGGATACTATCATAAACCTAACACAAGCACTATGGTACTGTCTTTTTTGCCACTTTTCAATTAATAAGTGAAATGTTTTGTCGCCAAGTTTACTCATATTTTCAGGATTAATTTACACTGCTACATTAACAATAAAATCGTGCTAGAAATTGCATGCCTATCATGACATTTTCCATACTAAAGTTATTACATTGGTTTGAGTAAGTTTTTAATATATTTTACGAGCTGTTTTAATTAATATCTTTCTGTAACTAAAAGGGAATCCGGAGATACAATTTGGGATGCATAAAACATAAAACCCAAAAGTCGTTGTGTTTCGTTTATTATTATTAATTTAAGAAAGTTTCCAAAGTGTTTGAAAACTTGCGTCAATTTCAGTTTTACATGAGTGGATTTGGTAGATAAGGCAGAATTAAATGCTTTTTTATCACCTTATTAATAATATACTATACTTTTCATCGTACACTCACTTTAAATATTCTTTTAAAAATTGAATGATATTTTCTAATTTTTATTTACACGTTTATTTGCTAGGATTATTTCTTTCAAATTTACTGATACTTGATATGCAATAATTGAAAAGTAGAAATGTGAAAAATAAATACAAACTAATGTATTAGTGTGTGCATATTCGTTATCTTTATGGTTATAGTTTAGTTAATTTGATGTAAGTTTTTGTATATCTCTAATTGATTTTGGAAAAGTTCTGCTTCAACCATACTTGTTGATACGGAGATATACGGAGTTTTACCAAGAATTAAGCCATAGAGCAACCTACGTAAACACGTATAAAAGTAAAATAAATTTTGTGTGCTAAAAATATTACTAATTTAGCCGCCTAAAAATAAGTTTCAAAAGATTTCCAGTGTTTACTCTACCATAAATGTTGACGTATTTTTAAAAATGTATATGTAGGTAATCGGAATTCTGGCATGGATGTAGTAATCAATGTGAAAAAAATGTATTTATTCTGCAGAAATTGACCTAATTTTACTGTAGTAATGAAAACAATGGTTCACGCCAAAAACAATAAACGGAAGAATCATATCCTAAAGTTGTCACGTATATCATCTAACGGACTAAAATAATCTTTCAAACAATTCAAAATCAAGTACAAGGAAAAAAATAGTCTTATTTTACCTATTTATTCATCTTGTTTTTGTAGAATATCATAGCTAGTTTAGCACATTTTTGAATAAAGAATTAACAATTATCTGTTTAAAATTTTCGACTAAAAGAAAATGTGTAGCAGCTTATTAAAGAAGAAAAATCACCCTGAACTTAATTTGTTGATTAATCTGAAATTACTGCACAAACAAATACAGGAGATGTCCTGAGTGGTCTTCCAGTGGGACGTTTTTCAAACCTTTTCTTTAATTTTAAACAGTAAGATTAATATAAGGGTATGATAACCAAATCATTATTGGTCAACTTTAATGTTACTTAGGGTAAAAACTGACCAAGAAATTAAAAAACGTCCAGGAATGTCCCCGTTATTAAACTCTGTAAAAATCTCAGATGAGCCATTAGAATGGATTTTATATAAGATTGATTTTTCTTTTTTTAATTATATATAAGACAAAAATACCATTTAAATATAAATCTAATAATCAAGTTAAATAGTTAATCATAGAAAAATCTGCGAATAGGTTTCAGGTGTAGTTAAATAGTAAAATATGTTCCCAAAAACTGTTACATTTTTATTTATGTATTTATTAAGTATGAAAGAGAAAATTTATTCTATTATCCAAAGCAATTGTCTTTTAGCAGAATTAAGGGGGGATCTATTAATATTTACGCGATAACTAAGTTTATTAAAAATGTTTTTAATTGGAAAATGTTCGCTCTTTCTTTAAATTTTAATGAGCTCACTAAGTAAAGCAAACAAAGAAGTATTTACAAATAAATTTAATTTGTAAAATCAATTCGTTTACTATAAATACTCCACCAGGATTAGCCAAAATTTTCATTTATCATTTTCCGGTTGAAAGGATTAATGACGTCGGCTGAAATTTTTGGCATATTCGCTTATAAATTTGATCAAGATAGAAGTTGTTCACCTGTTTAATGAACTTGCAGCGATTGTATATGTTTGTAAAATGTTGTACTATGAACATCCACCTATTTATCTATGTATCTATTTCTGTTAAACTTGAAGTTGTTGACGCCAGCTAAATATTAATTTTTCTTTTTTACAGGATGAACTCCCACCGGAACAGATTGCTGGTAAGTTAAGATTATTTATGTACCGTTTATTATTAAGATGTATGTGACTTTTAATTATGTACTGGGTTATTTATTAAGCACAATTAATTATTGTGAAATGGGAAATGTTATTTCTTCTCTTATTTTTGGCCACTTCGCATTTTTCGTCTTTTCTTTGATTTTTGTGACATTCCAACACCATAAACTCGTAGGTAGATAACAGAAATAATACCAGAAATAGCGATAAAAAAATCGATATAAGCTTGACGTTTTTCGGATTTTTTCTTTTACTTGTGCTATTAAGACATTGCTTCTTATCAAATTTCATGATACTACGTCAGCCGGAAGTATCTTCTAAGTTTTTTGATTCCTTTCATCATCATCATAAGTTCGTCAGTCCTAAGACTGGTTGGACACGCATCTCCACTCTTTCCTATCCTGAGCTAATCTTCGCATTTTCCTAAAAGTAGAACAACCCACATCCTTAACTATTTGCGAGCAGTAATCTAACCTAGGTCTACCTCTACCCCTCCTAACTCTTGTTTCTGCCTTTAATATGTCTCTAACTAGACCTTCATGCCTGATTCCTTTGCGAGTGTAAAAATATGCAGCACAAACGGCCGTGTCCTTTGATTGCGTTAACTTACAAGTTTGATTATTTCACAACTCCTAGGAATTGTAGACCTGATTATTTCATAGTAATTGTAATATGATATCTCCACGCGCTCCTGAGGAAAAGGGTCTTGATAATCGATAGACGGAGAACGAAAGGGTCCTGTAATGGTCCCTTTTTCCTTTTTGAGGTAGGGAACCCTAAAATTGATTGACAAGCAAATAATAATTGCAAAACCAGAAGGGTCAAGCATTTTTCTTTCTAACAGCAACATTAAAACAGAAAATTGTAAAATTTTCCAAAAAATATGCACTAAGAGAAATGAAATAGTTGAATTTACTAAACTGTGTTAATTTTCCATTTAACATTTTATATTTCAGTCCTTTGATAGTAGGAAAACGACTCAACTAAGAGTCGTCAAATGGGAAATTAACACAGCATAGTAAATCCAAGTATTTTCATTTTTTTTTTTTTTCAGTGTAAGAAATAAAGAGGGTGCATGTTTTTAAAGCATGTTTTCAGCAAATTCTGACTTTTTGGTTTATTTTGAATAAGTTATTGAGTTAATAGAAAAAAGATCTATAGTATACCATTTGATGTAGCTTTGTCACTTTCTATAAGTACAGGTACATGAAAACCAATCAGTTACCGGAAATTTTAAAATACCTTCAAATTTAGCAGGATGTAACGGCAGTTAATCATGTTTACGAGGAGTTATAACAAAGAGTGCGGCTGTGGCTGCTCCAAGTTATTTGTGGAATGAAATAAATCGACTACATACAATAAAATAGCAATCAGAAGTTCAATATGCTCAATTCGTATACGTAAGAGTCATTAAATATCTCGTAAAATATTAAAGAAAGGTTTTTCAAATTAGTTTCGACATTCACATAAATTATTTATTATTGGCTACAAAGCGATATTAAAGATGTTAAAAAGGTATGAACTTGAAACAAATTGACATGCACATGTATTAATAAATCGAAATGGATTCAAATTTTCATTTATTTGGCGTAACAGCAAGCGAAAATTGTACAAAAAAGATTCTATTTTTTATTAAAACCGAAGAACATATTTATTTGTACTTTTACAATTATTTTATACTACCTAAAGTGGGATTAAAATCATTGCAAAGGACGAGGATCAATAAGATCCAGTCTTTGCTCCAAAACAAAGTTGGGTGTATCTTATAACGTATATTCTTTGCAAGTGTGATAACAAAATTGCTTTGTAAGGAAAAACGTGTTGCAATAAATTGTTTATATCAGCTAAATTAGTTGATACATCAATTTCTTCAAAGGTGATGTACTTATTAAGAAACATTTTATTGTATACAGTACATGCCTACTAAAAGCACCTTTTTAAACTCCTACATTAGTATATCACATTGTTAAAAATTAAGCTGCTTCTACCTTGTCCTCTTCCCTTCAAATATGATTAATATAAATGCAAATTTAAATGCATATGTATAATTGTTTAAATATTTGTTATAGATTTTAATTAGGTATCGGTAGACAATCTTATTTAAACTTGGAGGTTGCGTCAGTTCTTTTTAACACAAAAAAGATTTTCCATTACTGAAAAAATAATCGTTTCTTAACTTATTTAAAAACTGATATTTTATTGTATTTTGTATGAGTTAAATTTGCGAATTTTGTGCAATTATGCGCTCGTTTTTCCCTAATTCAGGATCCAAGATCATTGGCTTGGTTACGTTTGGTTTATTTGTGGGAGCCGTCATCCTTAATGATCCCGATTTCAGGCTACAGCTGTTCCATTACAGCGGGAACGGTTGATTTATATTCGAGTATTTTGAAATTTATAAACAACGCACTTGTTTGAATTAAAATATTCAGGCACACGCAGTATATGGACTGGTTGTGTTATATTCTTAGAACGGATATTGTAAACCCCGATGCTTGATGCTGTGTTAAGTTACAGCGATCCTTTTGCGAAAGTGGAAAATACCATGGAAAATACGTACACATATGGAATTTCGATCGGAGATTCACCTAAACTGTTAAACGACAATAATTTAAGACGAATACTGGTCTATTCGATTAATATTCATATGTTGGCAAATATTCAAAACATTTTTCGTAACTGCATTGAATAAAAAATCATCGGTCAAAATATATGTTGTTAAAGGAGTTTTAATTTTTGAAAAGAAACGTAAACTACAACTTTAGGTTCAAATGATGGAAAATGTCTTAAGTTCTTTGACAATTATGTTTATGAATTAAACATAATCTCCGACGTGATATTAGTACTCGAACATTTTTAAATGCATTAAACATTATTAAAGTTAACTTTTTATAAAACCAATAAGTATCTACTAGGTCCATTTTAATGCCGGAAAACATTCTATAGTATCGATCACGAATTTTTATTTTGTGTTTAATTTTTTTTAGTCTTACGTAAAGCGTTTGAAAGTTTCGACAGTCAGAAATCTGGAAGTATATCCTGTGAAATGGTGGGCGACATTTTAAGGCTCATGGGTCAACCCTTTGATAAAAAGATTTTAGAAGAACTTATTGATGAGGTTGATGCTGACAGTAAGTCGACAATAAAATTTAAGCTTACTTACAATTATAATTACGATTATTCGATGGAAATTAAGTATTTTTTAAGTAACTAAATATTAGGTGGATGCGTGGGACACTTAAACATTTTAATTATATACCAAATAATAAATAACAAAATATTATTATCTATTTTAGAGTCAGGCAGACTAGAATTTGAAGAATTCGTAACACTAGCAGCTAAGTTTATCGTTGAAGAAGACGACGAAGCCATGCAAAAAGAACTTAAAGAAGCCTTCCGGTTATACGACAAAGAAGGTGAGTTAGTTCGTGATCATTTTTGAATAAATCATAAACTACGTCTATAAAGTTTATTTCTAACATACCACAAATCATGAAATTTGTATACCATTATGGTTCAAAGTTCCGTCCTAATCACGAAACCTTGATGCTAGTTAGGTTTTTAACAGTTTGAACATCTTCCTTTAGTCTAAACTCGGACAGAAGGAAGAAAACCTCAAGAGACTTTTTACATATAATATTAGATTATCATGTTGTTGCTGATGAGAACCCATCTCGAATATTCACTCGATGTAACGTAAAATTTAAAATGGCAAGCATTTAACTTTACATAATCCAAAAATATTTGACACATTGCGATATTTCTCTTGTTGAACATGATGGCTAAATTATTTACGTAAGAAAATTTCACTACCTCATCTAGGGGTGGTGGAAAATAATGGGGGGATTGAAAAGTGCCTATTTTAGTAATATAATTACGAAACCCAAGGCGTGTTGGGTTCTTTGGAACTTAGAATATACAGTGACTAATTTTCTATGATATTTAACCTTTTCTTTTGATATTTGTCTACATAATTTCGTCTTTCATATTACGCATGAAATGCAAGAATAATAAAGTGTACGAATCAAAGCAATTATCTGATGTAATTTTAGAATATTATATGGCAAACTACTTCTCAGCGAAGCGTTATAACGCAAGCGGCCAAAATCCAGAAAACAAAAATATGTGGCGTAAAACTGTAAAACCTGTGACACATAAGCACTCTGCCGTGTAAATTTTACTACTAATTTGCAAAAGTTGCATGTACTTCTCGTGTAAATTGCACTTTATTTTTTTGGAACGCTAAAGGCTGATATTCATCATAACATTAAATCTATTTTCATACTTAACAAAACACCTATTATATGGGTGCGAGAAGGATCTTTAAATAATAAATTCAGTCCATGTTTAACAGCTTTAAGCTCTAAAAAATAATATATACAGGATTATTGGAATTTTGTGGCCTATTAGGTTTTTTAAATTTGGAATTTCGAAATAAATTACTTAAGTACTAATTACTTCCAGCTATTTTAAATTATTTAAGAAATTATAATAATAATGTAATGGTATAATTTGAGACTTTTAGTCTATATGGGAGAAAACAATTAGTTGGATACAAAAAATGTTCAGGTTTATCATTCGTTCGAGTGAAAAGAACGATTTTTTTTGTGGATTCTTTTTAAATGAGAATTATCTCAAGAATTGTTTATTCTAGGGATAGGCTATAATAACTTTTACCTTATAAATTGATATAGTTTGTGCATTACAAGAAATGAAATAAAATATTAATGCCTAGAAACTTAAATCGCGTTTCAACACCTAAGATGTCTTCCTCAGAGACAACATTGTCAGATACTTCCTTACCAAAATTGTCTATTCACAAAGAAAAAGCTTACTGAAACCATGAGTGCTTTTTAGTACGATTTTTGTATAAAATTTCAATACTACTACGCGTATTTATAACATATATAAGTTTAAGTGAACTTTTGAAGGGTATTTTATGTTTTTTTTCTTTCATTGAAAAAATAAATGTTCAGGTAATGGTTATATCAAAACGTCTGCGCTACGTGAAATCCTGCGGGAATTAGACGATCAGCTAACTGACAAGGAGCTCGATTTAATGATCGAAGAAATCGACACAGATGGTTCAGGAACCGTGGACTTTGATGGTAATGTAATACAAGATCGGTCGCGCTTTTGGTTGCCTTGTATGTAAATTGGTCCGATGCTAAGCTTCTATTTTCATACTTTACGACGTTTAACTGTAATAATAATACGTTTAAATGTTTACTAGATTTTGTAATGCTCGACGTGGCTTAAAAGGAACATGCTCCTGGCCACGTGCTAACAATATTATTTGAACCTTGAAGAATGCTTGCTAGATTTCGGTGTACATTAACACTAATTAAAAGATGTGCAAAGCTGCACGATTGTATACGTATCTCTACAAAAATAAACTTAATCTGATAGGATTCCTTCTAAGCACAGAAATGTTGAATCTTTGCATGCACTTATGCTACTATTTTGATAAAAAGGCCATTGCTAGGCATAGTTAGGGTAATTGACTTAAATCACTAAAATTGTTATTAGCAAAATGCAATTTGAAAGCTAGTACTAGTATTCTAAAACTTTATTTAATTCAGGAAAAGGAAAGGAAACTGTTACTTTTAAAAAGTAAAATCAGCTAAAACATGATTTTACTTTACACTTTATANATCTCTACTACACACCTACTAATAAACAAATTGGGTATATAACTCTCTGTTATGATTTAAATACTTCTGAAATTAAAAGAAAAAACATTAAAAAATTGCTAATTTCATTTGATATTATGTGTACCTTCCCTGTTTAATAACCAAAGAATGCTCATTCTCAAAATATAAATATTTAACAAAATATGCTTAATTCTTAATCATGAAGAAATTCAATTTTAGTCTACAGCATATCTAAAGGCAAAAAGAAAAAGATTTCAATAGTTCATCCAGGAAACTAGCAATTGTCTTAACTCATTTTCCAATAATTGCTACTAATTTTTAACGTCTCTTACTGTAATTGTTATTATTTACAGAGTTTATGGAGATGATGACCGGAGAGTAAATTAATTAAGTTTTACGATTAAGTGTATTTAAAAGACGGTCGCAGTGTGTATATATTTTGTTTCTTCAGGTTTTTAATTTTATTTATTATAACAACATGAACAACATCGTATTAAGATAAAATAACTGTTTACATGGTATGTTTGTCCACACATTTTTTGTTGTCAAGCATCAATTATATATTTGTACACTGATATTTTTGCGCTGTATTACTCACAATCGATATATTTAAGAAAATAAAAACTATTTTATCTCTACTACAATTTTTTATATTATCTATCTTATCATCAATAATAATACTGTTTAGAATTTAAAACCTTATATCTACATAACTGATTTACCCCATTACATTATATAGGGTGATTGATGACGTTTGTTTTTCAACTTTTTGAATGAAAAAAATATTGTGTGGTAAGTATTATAAAATTATGGTTTGGCGAACTTAAATAATTTATTTTAACTTACTTGGGGTCAACACATAACAACCTGAATCGATAATTAACACACAAGTACTAATTCTAAGTCTATACATGTCGTTAGAAACATGTAGTGAAACAAAAATATTTATATATTACCTTCTAATAATAACAACAAAACTTAGGTCCCGATACATGGTGTTATTAAACAATTTCTTAATTGCTGTAAATTAAAAAATTAACTGTTTTTTTTACATAATTTCTTTATTTAATGGGATCGATCATAATTCTAAAACCAGTTTCTTGAATTATTATTGCGATATAATTCGTGGTCATATAAACATTATTAATTTTGGGGAAAATTAATTAAGAGTAGGTACCTAACTGAAATAGTAATTTTTAAAATTTGTTTGTTTAGGTACCTATATATTTTTTTACGAATTCCTTGGGGATGTAAATATCGCTTAAAAATGAAATTGAGTCTGTGATCCTCATACATACCCGACATTATGTTCCTATATAAATATATGTAAAATGTAATACCTACGTAATAAGTTATCAAAAAAAAGTTCTTAACAAATGTTCCTACATATGAGCAAATATCTTGTACCTATCTTAAAACTAAGAGTGTTCATTGACGATATTATTAAAAACATGTAAGTTACAGAAATTGAATATTTATTTGTGCATGTATGTATGAAAAATAAGGCTCGTATTATTTTAGTAATAAAGGTGCAATACTCAAGTTTAATTAATATTTTACCCATTTCATACTATTTATTAGTTTATTCCTTTAAATATCCAGGAATGTATATTTGGAGTTTGGACCTTTTGTACTGTAATATGCTATACTTACGTTTTTATAGAAACTACAACATGCAAAACAAAAAAAATATATATTTAGATGCTAATTAAATAATACGATTAATATTATAAATGTAGTACACAGATGAATGACTGTTGAACCACGATTACTAATCATTGGTCAATATTCATTTTTTTAAAGGCTGTACCTACAGAATGAATTACTTTTATACATATATATAAACAACATATAATCATAACTATTCTAATAATTTTTTGGCAATGATAATGAGTACCTATCTTTACATTAACAGTATAATTATGTGAATATTAGTAAGTGCTTTTTATAAATACTGTACGGTAATCAATCCGTATTTTCGTTTATTCTTAGAGAAATAAATAATTAATTAAGTTTAGATATTATCATAGAAAAAGAATTATTGACTCATAAACCTTTTACATCAAAATTCTTTTTTGCACGTATGTACTATACGAGAAATAATAACATCTTAACTGAAGGCTACTAATCCAGTTTTTTTTCTTTAAATTTCATGTGTGCATAAATATATGTGTAGATACTTACTTATTTTATTACGTGTTTAATTAATTCAACATCTAAAACACAAATTTCATCACCGTTTGCCATTTTTTGTTTCCTCTTCGAAAAATATTAAAATTTCATTGTGAGTTCGTTATCAGAAATAATTTCATTTATCATTAATTGATTAGTGTAAGTAACGATGAGTAGATTTTCTTTTATTTGTTTAACTTGGTATATAATATAATCTTAATAAGTTTGTCGATTGAAATGCATAGCAGAAAAATAATTAATAATAATGGAACCGAAAATAAATTCCCTTAAAAAACGTTTGAAATTGATGCAGTTTACTTATGTAATTATTGTATTAAAGTAATTTATACTGTTCAACTTAAATTTTTTCGTCACCAAATAAATAATTTAGGATATTTAAGATGTTTGCTACTTCAAATAAGCCAACAGATAAATAAAAGAAAAATAGAATTTCACAAAAATAAAAAATAAATTGTGCAAAATTATATTAAAAAGCCAATGAATACATGTGTAAAAGGTATATACTATGTATATATGTGTATAAAATGGTTAACATAAAATGTACGTAAAATAATGTAAAAAAATATTGCAGTATACATTTTGTTCATTTATCAGCCGTCTTTCGTATCACAGCAAATATATATATATATAGAATACTTTAAAACAATACGAGATTACTTGAAATATTGGGGAAACTCGTTTAAAATAGCTTTTACTATATTTTGGTCGGGTTTACTTTGTTCTGTTTCCTCACAGAAGATTCTTGTAAAGCACTTTAAAAACTCTTCCCTTCGATGTAAATGTTCGTGATAATTTGTGTTTCTTAATATTAAGCGACATAACTCCAGATACTGTTGCCTTCTCTAAAATGAAGCATATAAACGGTAAATTCATTTAATTTTCAGTGGTTACATATAAAGAAGATAATTAGATGGAAATGTAAAACATTTTGCTATTTCAGAAACATTAAGTTTTAATTGAGAGATAAATAACTTACATTATCACCTGGAGACAAATCTGCAATGTTACGAACAACAATATCAATTAGAACTTTTATATCATTTGTATAAAATAAATCAGCCGTATTTTCGTTATTAAAGAGATCTAAAAATAATTTTAGAACAGAGTGTGGTGGTGCTGGTTCATGGTCAAAGATTCTTACAGGGTCCTCTGAAATTAAAAGAAAAAACATTAAAAAATTGCTAATTTCATTTGATATTATGTGTACCTTCCCTGTTTAATAACCAAAGAATTCTTTCAGTAAAACTTTTTGCAGATATGGTTTTCTGAAGAGCATTTATGACAATATTTTCAGATTTACTTTTAAATTGTAAGTTATATGATATGACAAGATTCAGGAAGAGATCGGGAATCTGTTCATCAATGTCAGTATCAGGGGGATTTTCAATATTATCCAATAGAAATATTATGAACTGAGGACCCAACAACTCTAAAATACAAGAAAAAAAGGAAAATATGGTATATAATAGTATTAAAAAATTTAATACCAAAATGAGTAATGGGCATAGATTCCCCCATTGAAAATACCATA